GCCCCCCCCCCCCCCCCAATCAAGCAAGAAGTCAGGGTAAGCAGAGCAAAGGCCACGGCTTCAAGGACTTTCCCGATTTTCCAGGACTGACCAGACAGCTGGTAGGATCATTGCTTCCTAAGCAAGGTGCTAGCTGGATCCTGTAACATATACATCAATACTGATACAGATATAAAAATAACAGGAGCAAGGGGAAAAAAACAAACAAACAAACAAACCAGTTTTAGGCAAAACTTGATTCTATAATCTTACAGTCTTGAAAACCTGAAAAAGTGCAGCACCATTTTATGAATTCAGCCAAAAAGATAAATAATGCTTCTGCTCCCCCTGTTGGCTCTGTCCTCAAAACACAGCTTGGCATCAGTGAACTGAAGTTTTTGAAGAACCATAATAATATATATAGGGCTTCATCTGTTTTGAACATGAAACTTTGCCTTCATACAAAAACAAGATGCTCTATTTAATCACAATCAGAGTGAGAAAGCACATGTGAGACATAAAAAAAGCTGGGAGTTGTTTTGACCTAAACAAAACCAGGAGTTTTTGAAACACCAATCCCAAACAAAGTGTCGTGAAAGGTACATAAAAGATGATGAAGAGACATATACCTAAATGAAGGAAAGAAGTAACTAAAGCTTACTCCAAATGTATGTTTAAATCCAAAAGGCACAGTAATCTGCATACAAACCTCACCGACAGCACTGCTGATGGCTGCGTCTCACGGGGTGTTCAGGAAGACTTGAATGAATGGATGGACTTAGCTCCTCCACAGTACCCTGCTCTCGCTCCCCGAACCTCTCCTGTGCTCCTCGACACCACTGGTAGCTGCCAGCTGCCAAGAGCCCCGACCCAGCCTCAGCAGCGAGCCAGTTCCCATCACTTTGGCTCTGAGAGGACCCCTCAGCCTCCTCTCTCTGCCTGGGTAATTTCTCGACATTGAGATCTTCAAGAAGGTTAGAGAAAGATGAGTGTTTCTGTAGTAATAAGGGTAATGTAAAAGGGTGGCTCCCTGTAACAATGTCAGTTTTTTAGAGAGCCTTAAGGACTAATATTAGTTCAGCTACATTACGTGGATTCAAGTCTTTCAAGGTAAGAAAAAAAACTTTTTTTAAAATCCAGATCACTATTAAGACCAAAATTGGATTCTGAGAACCTCTGAACTTGTCAGTCTTTCCTTCAGTACACAATGGAAGAAACAAAAAGTTGTGCTCAAATCTTGTAAATTACTTAATGTATCTTCAGGCTGGAGAAAACAGGTCATTTGCACATACAGCTAGATTATCTCTGCTCAGATAATATCATAGTCTAACCTTAAACTGCCTTTCACGAAAATTTACGTATTGTAATCTGCTTGGGATTTTTTTGGCAAGTCAAGTTTACCTATACAGGCAAACCTGAACATTTAGACTTTAAATACTGCCTTCCTTCACAAGCTGTCTTTTCCCATTAGGGTAAGAGCTGGAAACAAAGATTGTGGATTGTCATCTTAGAAGGGTTCTCTGTCTCTTAAAACCTCATGTTAGAGGTTTTCTAGGTGAAAATACTTCAAGTGTGACACATAAAAACTACATATTGTTTTATTTAAATAAACCAGATTAGTTGACTACTATTGGTTGATTCTAATCAGTTAAGAAAGCCGTAATATAAAACTGAATTCAGTTTTTAAGTCCTAGTCATAGTGACACTGAGTATTCATCCTTGCAGTATGCACGAATCATTCCTCTTTCAGTGAACGCATAAATGCGGCCTCTTTGTAAATCCATTCAGATCAAAATACATTCACATTCCCTCCACTACACTGTGACCAAAGACTCTCTCAAGAGCTACTGAAAATGTTATTTGATGAACCTCTTACTGTGTCCAGCTTCAGAAAGAGAGAGAGATGCTAGTCTCATGTAGACAGGCACACTGAATCAGAGTAAACTGTAAGCAGATGTCAGAAGAAAACTGTTGGCACTCAGGTAATATTGAGAAACAATCAGCAGCATCCCCAATCGAAGTTTAAAAACACCATCACCTGGTTAAGAGGACCTGTTCCCTTTCCTATTGTACTAAAAACTGCCTGATGTTATTCCTCAGTATAACACATGATGCCACATGATGGCAGCAAACACCAAGCTTTAGCCTTACCTGCACAGGCTGTTCACCTCCTGTTCTAAAATCTTCAAGCTGCTGCACATGCCATGCAGCTACGCCGTAGGGCTCCTCAGCAGTCCTGCAGTCCAGGGGATTTGCACGTAACTGTTCTTTAAGCCACATTTGAGTCCTCACTGCTGGCTGTATGGGAGCTCCACTCACAGCCTGTTGTCCCAGAGTTGCGTATCTCTGTCCGAAAGCTTCACAACTGGCTGCCGTAGGTTTGCTTTCAGGTAAGGCACTGTAGGTCAAGTCTAAGGCATGTCTCCTACTGGAGGAATCAGAAGCAAAATCGTCTTTGCTGCACGTTTCAAACTTGTATTTGCAGTCCAGTAGGGAAGATCGTTTTTTCCCCATTTCTTTGTCCTCGATTTTTAGCAACTCCATGCTATCATGCAAACAACTTGGCCCATTTGTCCTTAATTGTGGTGACACAGCTTTGTCTGTACTAGCCCTGGAGTCCACTGAATGACTACTACCATCTTGGCTGAAGGTATTTGGTGAGCTGAGTTTAGACAAGGAGGACCATTTTCTTACAGGTCTTGCATCTTTCATGTCAAGAGAAGTGTCCAGGGCACCCTGATTTCTGCCCCCTCCTGACCGTACAAAGCTTGTACTCCATTTTGAGCCATCAGACTTGAAAGCTTCCCTGTGTTTGGAAAGTGAAGAGCTGGCATTAGACGGCATCACATGGGCAGTGGGAATAGAAACCAGTGATCGGCTGGGCTTAAACGAGGATGTACCACTTGAAGTTGAATGATCTGGGAAGAGAAATTTATCATGTAAATAAGTACAATGCAGAACTGACATTAACATCAGTGCCCAGAGGGCAAAACATCAAATTCAAGGTGAAATGCAAAGGTAGAAGGAAACAGGTTTCTTGGTAAAATAGGGTCTTCTGAGCCATTCAAGATTATGAGAATGGACACCTATGGAAGTGGGAGACTTTCAAATCTGTTTTGCTCAGGTACTACCATTTCAAAAAGAAAACTGTACTAAGAGGTGGCAACAGCAGCTCCAGACACAATTCTCAGCTTGTGGGCAGAAGGCAGCATTCATTCCCCAGCTTCAAGGTGGCAGGCTGGATTTCTCCCCAACCCCAGATAATTTTAAGTAGCTTCTGTATCACAAATGGTAGAGGTATCACAATTCAGAAGCCCCAGGACTGGTTCCTCTTCCATCACCCCTCTTCTCATTTTTTAAATGCAAAACAATTCACTAAATGCACTTCGTAAAATGGCAGGGCTGGAGACGAGCCAGTTTAATGATGGCCTCTTGCACAGAACTATTCAACCCTTCTGGATCTCACTGATTTCAAACTACGCTTCCCCAGGCAACCTGCTAAAAAACAAGATTCTGAAAAATTTTATGTTCCATTTAGGTTTTCCGTTATTTACAGACCCAAATACAATACCATACAGAAACTGTGTGTAGCATAATTTATTAAATCTATCCCAAGCTGAAATATCAAGAACAGAGAAATCAGTGAGGTGATATTCAGGAGGGGATGGAAGAGCAAAGACAAGAGAGGTAAATGAGAGGTTACTGGGGTCTGGCTGAGACCTCTCACACGCCCAGTGACATGTGCTCAGCATCACAGGCTGTGGACAACCAGAAGTAAACAGCTAATCCTCATTAGAGGATCAGCTCCCATCAAGTCACATGGCTGCACCTTAGCAAGCTGATCTTGCTTGTTAGGTTCATGGCAGATAGACAGAATGAAAATTGCTCTAATTAAAAGATTGCTTTGGGGTCCTTTTTGCCAAAAGCAAGACAGATACACTCTTCTTATTTCTCTCATCCTAACCTAGAAAGAACTTATTTCTTTGGGATTTGTCAGCTGGTACAAGAGTTCCTAGTGGGACAATTAAAAAGGAGAAAACAAACAAACAAACAAAAAATCAATCAATTGCTCTAGAAGTATAACTGACACACCCAGTTTGATGGCGACACTAGGTTAATGTGATTTCGTGAAGGCCAGAACACATTATTAACTGGGCACACTTTCAAAGGATATATTTGACTCAATACACCATGCCACAGATAGGAAAACAAAGAGAGCTTCCAATGGTGCAACAACTTTTTAAAATGGCAGCACTACTTTTTCTACATATCGAAATAAAGATAACCTTACCCTCAACTTGCATACTCCTCCTTATTGGGGACCGGACTTCCTCACTCCTTGCACTTCCAGCACAACACAAAATAATATAGCCCTACAGCCACACTTCTGAGAAAAATACAGTATAGCCCACAAAATAATAAACAGTTCCTCGATTGATACCTGTTTATTACATGCTTGCCTTCTGGCTCCTAAGGGAGCCAGGGCTCCTAAGAAGATGAAAATTCTTGCTGAAGCCTTCCTGCCTCCTAATGGGTCACTGCCCCCACCATGTACCTTCCCGTTTCGAAGCTTAAGCTCGCACATTGTCTCTTGCCTCTACCCAGGCAGCCACCTACTTTCACTGTCGTTACAGAACACAGCTATCTTTAAGACCTGACAAAACGGTCAGAGCTGGTTGAAACGGACCAACAGTTTAAGAGTTATTCATAGGGTGCTGACAACAGCCATAAAATACACACGGGATGCTCACGTTAGAGAAAGTGAAATGGCGAGAAGAATAGTAGCAGCTTGTTACCTGGTGGATCACGTTGCTAATAAATGAGGTACATTTTTTACATGCAAGATGAAAGACCTTCCCTCCACCCTGTACTTCTTCCTTAAAAATTCTATACTGCAGAGAGAAACATTTTCCTTGCCTTTTTTCTCTGCCTTGATATTGCTCAAGAGGTGGGACATATTAAAGAGGAAGACAGAAGGCCACACAACTCATTTCAAGTGGAAGGAATCACCGTCTTCTGACCAAACACATTTGTGCCCACAGCTATTGCAGCAGTGGAGACAGTGATACGCAACACAAGTTCCCAAAATTGTGATATGCCCACCACATGTAACCAATCTGCCTGTGCCAGCTGCAGTCTCAGCTTCTCTCAGCTCTGCCTTCCTGTCTTCTCTTGTAGCACAGCAGATGCTAGCATAGATAGCCACTACAGATCAGGTGCATCTTGCTACTCTCCGTAGCAGGGGCTGCCAGCTTCCAGCCCTGCTCTGCAATAGAAATAAAGGTACTCAGTCATCTCTGGCTGAGGATGTCAAAGCAGTGACAAGAAGGCGAAAGAAGTATATGACATGACGGAGCTCCAATCTCAAACATATGTATTGTGAGATGGAAAGCACAGGGTTAGAGTCCTGCTTTCCGGGAGCATTCAGCAGAAGAGCAGGGAGAGACTTTCCTCAGTAGAGTAGGGAAGAAAACACACAGTAGAAAGAAACACAACTCTTCTTGTACAGGTACTCCTTGGCTGGAGGCTGCTGCCTCTGTAACACTCAAGCAAACTAACTTTTGTACTGTACCTTACCCAGAAGCCGAATCTGACACAGCACAAAGTCAGACCTGTGAAGGAAGCAGCCACAGGCTTTTTTATATCCAAAGAAAATTGAGTATATTAGGATTGAAAAAGAACTGACTGCAGAGACCTATGTTTTAGGCTATGCAGATTTCTATGAGTAGAAATGTCACAACTGCAAGAGGAAGGTAAGAGAAGAAACCCTATCTGTACACATGTATCTGTGAAATTTAAATACAGTTGCATACCAAAAAAATTATAATAGGATTTAATATAGCATATTCAGTCTGAAATACTGACTTAATGTCACATACACACAGTCTTCAAACTAGAATTAAAAACAATAATAATTAGAAGTATATGATCTCCTTCACCTGTTTTTATTAGAGTACAGAGTTATTCATATGTGGTAGATTTTTATTTTTCCTTGTTCTACTCTAAATTTAAGCCCTAAGTTAGATAAAAACTTCCTTTCTTCACTTCTGATTCTAAACTCTTCAAGCAGATTTAAACCTGGAATGCCACGTACATCCAACTACAGCTGATGGATGTCTCTGATAATTTGTCTCTAAGTGAAACACACCAATTTTGGCTTCAAGTTGTCCTAATTACTCTTCCCATTAACGCTCACTGAAACATATGAGAAAATTCACACTTCTTCTTAGAGCATATTGCTTCAGTCTGCCTTGACTGCAGGCTCAGCTGGAAAGAGAGCCAGTCTGCATTCTGAAACATCTCCTCACAACAGAAAAAGCATGAAATTCAGAAATTTCATTGAAAATCAGAGAGAATCCAGAAAGTATCATGAAACTTAGAAGACATTACTACTTCTGCAGTCACAGAAATAAGCTCCATCTGGCCAAATTCTGCTGAAGACTACTTTATCCAAACAGCAGATTTTTTCCCTTCCATACAGTCGGGGGTGAGCAAATGCCTAGTTCAGAACTAAAAGTGCTCTCTTCTAGCATTACTCACATTTTCACTTCATTGAGCTAGTGTTTATTTGAAGATTACCAACACTCTTAAACATGGCTTGTATGCCTCCAGAGTCTTTCAATGCTTAAGACTGCTCGCATTAATGAAAACTTAAAGAGACAGGAGGAAAAAAAAGACAGCTAGTTGCTACTGGTTTCCCTTTGAACAACATCAAGATGATACGTCAAATTTTGCATTTCAATTATCCTATTAACTTTTTTTTTCTGCCCACCACAAAGCTCCTTAGAGGAGTTCTCTAATAGGCATAATATTTTAATACCTGATCCAATACTTCCCAAACCACATAAATAAGAGAACTGGAAAAACTATATTTTAAAAACATGCTACAAGATTTCTACGACATAATAGCAACAGATGTAATAGAAAATGAAAAGCATTTCATATGGCTTTCTTACTATCTTGTGTTACACTTCTGAACTATTTAATTACTGCATATCTGGCACAGAAAATATAACAGAAGCAATTTTGGTCTTACTAAAAGCCTAATCACAGAAATTTTGTTGAAATGGGAGACAGCACAGCAGAAACTTGCTTCTTCTGAAGAAGAAAGAAACCCTCCAACATAAAGTTAATGAACGCCTCCTACTCATTTACATTTTTCTGTGCCAAGTTTTTTGTATCACCAGGGGCAACTATATTCATCATAACTAGAAGAAGATCTCTGAAGCCATTTCTCAGGCCAGATATACAACACAATCATTCAGCTACTTAAAATCCTTATCTCTTGTCCAACAGTCAGTCGTAACGCACGAGACAGAGAAGGTTCATTGTAACCCTGAACAACTTCCTCAGCTGCAAAGTGAAACTAGTGCTTTAAGAACCCCCATCTACAAAATACACCTCTACATGATACAATTTCTTCACTGCTCCCAGTAAGATTATCAAACAATAGCAGAGCAATCAGCTAATACAGTTACCCAATACTAATCAAAATCAAAATGCCTATGATGCATAAGTTTATGGGATGGATGGATATCTAATACCACTGAAAACAGAGAACCTTTCTTGTGTGAAGGACTTTGAAATCTGATATTTTATCCAGGCTATAATTAGAAAGCCCTGACCATGCAGTACACCAGTATTAAAAACAGCTGACCTTCTCTTCCTGCCCTCCCCTCCCACCCCCCAAAACACTGACATAGATTACCCCAATCCAGGAAAATAAACTGAATTATTCTTATTGACTGAGCAGAAGAGAAACGGCGGAAGTCAAGCCTCTGTTATACAAATTGAAGGTCTTGAATCTGGCTGCAGGTTAGTGTACAAAGGTTCTTACATTCGTTATAGGATGCCTGTTCTTCTGACTGCTTCTCTGAACTCTTAATTGCAGGGACCCCAGCAACAAGCGACAAGCAAT